CCTACATGAGACCACCATGCTGAGGCTCAGGTGGGAGGACTCCTCAGCACAACCTTGCCTGACAGCTACTGACATACCAAATACATACTCTGTAATCTCAGTACTCCTTAGGTGGCATCTTCATGGCTTCCCAATGCAGTGTCTCCTGTCCCTCATCTGGGTGAGGTTTGCTGTGATATCTGTCTATCTATTGTGGAAGGTTCCCCTCTTCTCAAGGCTCCTCCCATCAAACCTCAAAGAAATTACAGCAAAACACCTCCTGTTAAGCTTATATGTAACTTTGAGAATAACACAGCTGGTGTCATGCTTAAAAGGGATGGATACTTCCTCACAGACTGGCAAGATTTCTTGGGTTTTTTTCCTGAGACATTTCCCCAGTCCATCTTTTGAGTCTGTTATCACAAACTTGTCTGGAAAGGTGAAGCTTTCACCTCAGCTGAGACAAGTCAGACAACTGGGAGGGGGAAAGAGGAAGAACCTTGAGAGCTTTACAGGTAAGTCTATCTCCTATAGATATAGTGGCCAACCAGGAAGACTGATCTGGACCTGGGACTATCAGCTCCTAAGGCTCTAAGAAAGAAAAAACATGTAACATGCACACCTGTATATACACAGATGTACACTAGGTTATAGTTAAAAAATGTTAATCTATAATTGCTAAATGTTAATTTTGATGTGTTCCTTGTTTTACTCTTTGAGATCTTATGTCTAACTTTGCATTTTGGAATACTAAGCATTTTTATTTACTTTTTCATTGGACTTATTTTTCCTCCAACACTTGCTTGTTATAACCTTGAATTCCTGAGATACCGCAGCATTCCCTGCCACAACCTTTACTAAGATAAAGCAACTATTTGTTACACATTGACCTTCTGCAATACAGTTAAAGCAACATAGTTATGACTCAAATTGCAGCTACTGCTGTTTATAATAGAATGAGGATTTTTGCTTCTCATTTGTACTGTTTCCTAAAGAGGTCTGAGACACTCAATGCACTCATAGATCAATGTACAAATTTAAAGCCTGTATCAACAGTCTTGTATTTCCAGTTTAATATTATCATCACAAAGGTAGACAAATCAGACATCCACTCAGGATCTGGTGGAATCATCCACTAGGAACTAGCACACAAGCAGTTCACAGGAATGAGGGCATGAACCACGTGAATCTTCCTTTTTGATTTAGGATAACTTGATTTGCATGGATTGTGCAAGTGGTCTTCTGGACCTCTATCCTTGCCAGGGAAAGAGAACTGCTGTGTTAGTGGCTAACTGAGATGATCTCCACTCTTCCATCAGGAGATGATATTGCTGTGACGTTCCAGCCAGTGGCCACTATTACATCCTGTGTATTCTGTATGCTACAGCGCAGGGCTAGACTCCACAGAGGAGTAAACAACACTATTCCCTAGAACAAAAGTACTTCTGTATGGAGGTCAAAAGTGGTAACAGTTCTGTAAACCAAACTGATTGCACTAGAATGATATAAAATTACTGCATTAGAGGCTGGGTTAAAGTTTAACTATAGTTAAAAAAAGAAAAAAAAAAGAAAAGAGTATTTTTGATTTAGCTATTATGTAAACAGGACAGACAAACCCCACTAAATAACAACATTTATAGCAAAAGAACAATGGACTGCTTTAAAAAGGACTCTTCCCAGTTTGCTTCCACAGTTCTTTGGCTCCTTTAATGCTTTCTCTTTTCACACACTTCCAGTAACCTTGAATGCCTTGCTGTTGCGGTACCTGTTAGTAAAATAACAGTATGTTTAGCATTTACACAAAAAAAGACTCTTATTCACAGACTGTGTCAATATAATCTGCAATGCAATGCTGCTGCTCCCATAGCTCACATGCATAATAACAACAAGTACTTGGTGGCAGCACTCCTCCCAGATTCATAAGCAGTTAGGAATCTTCAGTTTAAAATGTAACTACTTTCTATTTACTATCTCTACTTGTGTTTCTACAAGCGTTAACAAAACAGCTGTAGCAATCATCTGTGGTATTTAAAAACAATGATGTCAGCTTGTTACCCTCAAGCCTCGATGAATTCGGTTTCTCAGGACTCCAAGAAACTCGCTGTGGCTGAGGCAGTCATCTCCATCTAGATCAAAAATCTTGAAGATGGTATCCAAAACATTGTCTGAGAGCTCCTGTCCTGTTGCCACCTTCACTGCTCTCTTGAACTCGGCTAGTAAAGACATAATATTACATCACAGGTGACTGTAAACATTGAAATTGGAAAGCACATAAATAGCAGGATTCTATACAATTTACAATGCCCCATGGGTATTCTAACCAGAGAATTTGGGATGTGTGAACTAGTAAACTATTAGGAGGCCTCAGTTCGTGTGTTCTTGAGCTTGCTTCATCTTTCATAACACAATCTTTATTAATTGCGTGATAAACTTTTGAAATGCACTACTTCTCAAGAAACAGCAGGAGTGATAATTTTTGCTAGAAATACTGCATGCTGAAAACTTGCATACTTTTGGCTGATACCTGGGCATATGGATGGTGTTTGCGTTACTACAGTCTCATAAAAAATACTACCATTTGATCTTGAACCAGTTTCATGCCAATTCATTCTGCAAGAAAACTCTTCTCCTCAGAGAACACTATTTTACAATATGCTCCACTTCAACCAACAATCACCTCAGCAGCTCTGTAGAAACACAGACCATCCAATAGTCAACACAGTGTTTACAGCACATGGTACCTACAGTTCTATTTTTTAAAGTAGTAAAAAACTTTCTACCTTCTCTGAAACTATGATGGAAGACTATGATGTAGATTATTACAGCAAGTTGTCCAATTAAGCCATAAATACAGTAATAACATGGTTCTGCTTTCACAAAGAAGTGCTGTTTATAAATAAAGCTATAAATATGATTAGTTTTGAAGCTTACTAGAGGAAAGAGCACTCCTGACTTAGCTCTCATCTTTGCCTCTTTGAACAATTCCCGCAGTTGATTAATTTACACTTGGTTTAAATATAACTAAGTTAAAAATCCTCCATAAAAGGATACACTACAATTGAAAAGGACATGAAATATGGGATACTTATAGTAGAGTCTTAATTTTGTCTTTAAAAAGATGTGAACTGTTTCAGGTCTTGAAGCTAAATATAAATGCAGATATGGCACTGTGCTTTTTTTGAACAGAACATGAAGAAAATGAGAAAGATCTTCTAAAATGGTGGAGCAAAATAATCTTCAAGCCAAGAAGGTCCACTTTAGAGAAAATATGAGCTGCTAACTTAGAAGAAAAAAAAAAAGTCTAGAATAAAAGGTTAAAGGACTGTCTTATTTTTAGATAAATATTCATATGTGTGTGAATACACACACATACACACATGCAAACAGCAAGACAAAGAGCTCAGTGAGATTCAGGAAAGGATTAGACATGTATACATACAACATCTGTGAGTCACCTCAGGACCTGACTGTTTTCAATCACAGCATACCATAGTATAAACAGTGCATAAACAGAGTCACAACTGCCTGTGGTTAGGAATGAGTTTTTACAAGGAAACATTACCAGAGTCAACACCAACTGTTGGCCTCATCATCCTTTGGCACTTAAAAATGGCTACTTAAATAGAGAAGTAAGCTAAACACTTGTATCTCACTTATGACTATTATTTCACCATTAATTGAACTTATTTTCCTCTTCACTCTTTGTAAACCTTGTGCAAACAAAATCTGTCTCTCCCCACAGAAGAAAGATGTTGTGAAACCAGAGAGAGGAGGGCCATGAACCCAGCTGGGAACTGGAGCACACGATGGAAGAAGAGAAGCTGAGGAGAACAGAAATATAAGGGGGGGATATTGCTGCTGCCTTCAACCACCTAAAAGGGGTTATAGAGAAGAGAGCATCATATTTTTCTCAAAGGTGCATGGAGGTAAGACACAATCATTGTAAGTTGCACCAAGGGTTTGACACAGAAAACTCTTCACAATAAAAGTGGTTAAATACTAGAACAGCTGCCCAGCGAGGCTGTGGAAACAAAACTCCTTCTGGACATGATGAAAAGTCACAAGTTGTCACAAGTTGTAAACCCCACCCCAGTCTTGGCCTTCTTTGGTTCAAACCCCATTCAAACATTTCTCTCTCAAGAACACTGAATTATCTTCCTGTCCTCTCCTAGCTCTCTCACCTTTTTCACATAAGCTCATCAAGTATTTATTTCAATGAATGTTAGTGTCTCATCAAATTTCCTTAGGAACTTTTTATGTTGCTATTTTCAAATAACTTATGAAAGCTGTCCTTCAAGTATAACAAATAAGGAACAACCTCAGAATTATAACAAAAAACAAAACAAAATTTGTATGTTCATGAAACTTTTGTTGCATTGTTCCTATTTCTGCTATATGGGAAGGAAGAAACTTCCCTCCTCCAAATTTTTATTTTAAAAACCACTTTGTTTTTGATAGCCATTATTGCTTAACACTACATAAGCACATGGAGAAGGCAGTATGGAGGAATAAATAAAACACAGCAAGATGCTACAGACCCTGCAAAAGAAGAAACTTCTGTTGTTTAGTTTCCTCAGAAAACTAGTTTTACTATGCAGAAAAAGCTTTGTTATCATGAACTGCTACTAAATCATGTACTGTTTCAATAAATCCTTCCTAATCTAGAATTTAGATTGGACTGACAATCTAAATAAAGTCCAAGGTGGAGAAGGACTTGTGGGTACTTGGTGGATGAAAAGCTGGACATGAGCTGGCAATGTGCACTTGAAGCCCAGAAGGCCAACTGTATCCTGGGCTGCACCAAGAGAAGCGTGGCCAGCAGGTCGAGGGAGGTGATTCTGCCCCTCTACTCCACTCTTGTAAGGCACCACCTGGAGTTCTGCATCCAGTTCTGGAGCCCCCAACTCAAGAAAGACATAGACCAGTTAGAACGAGTCCAGAGGAGGCCACAAAAATGATCCGAGGGCTGGAGCACCTCTCCTGTGAAGAAAGGCTGAGAGAGTTGGGGTTGTTCTGCCTGGAGAAGAGAAGGCTCCAAGCAGACCTTATTGTGGCCTTTCAATATATAAAGGGAGCTTATAAAAAAGATGGAGAGAGACCTTTTATCAAGGACGGTAGTGACAGAAAAAGGCAAAATGGTTTCACACTGAAAGAGAGTAGATTTAGACTGCACATAAGGAAGGAACTTTATGATGAGTGTGGTGAGACACTGGCACAGGTTGCCCAGAAAGGTGATAGAAGCCCCATCCCTGGAAACATTTAAGGTCAGGCTGGATGGAACTTTGCGCAAAAAAACTTTATGATTTTATGGTTTTGTCTGCTGTGAGCAGTCCAGCATATGATAGCACATTAGAACTTACAAATCAAAACATTTTGGGGACTTTATATTCCTATTTATTAATGAAATAGAATTAATTCAGAATAAAGAGCAGTATACTATTTTTGGACTTCACAGTGCTACTTTAAGATACTCTGGGATAAATTACTTACATTAATTCTGTAACAAAAATGCATTTTTTCTTTTTTTTTAAAATACATACGAAAGGTGTGCAGCACTTACCCCGTTTAACAGGACGATTTGCTACAGTAAACATCTGCATGGCAATAGAAAAGTCTTCCAGGTTATTTGTAAACTTGCAAAAAGTCTTGAATTCTTCTAAACTGATATTCTAGAGTATCAGAGAATTCAGATGATATGTAATGAATAATACATTCAAACACAAGTAAATCTATTTCATTAAATCTGGTGGGACCTGGTGTTTAGGTGTGACTGCCTACTCATTGTAAATATTTGTATTTCTCAGTTGGCAAATCATCATTGTTCTTATTTGCATAAAATTCAAGGGCTGCAATAATTCACTTAGAAACTAGTTACATTATTAGATAAAAACCTGTACATACAAATGAGGAAGCAAAACAAAGTGTGCTTTATGTACCAACCTCTCCTGCCTCAATTCTGTCTTTCACATTCTGCCAGTAAATTTCATTGTTTTCCTCCTCAGTGAAGTACAATAACCATTCTGCAAAGTCTTCTTTTCTCATGACGCTCAAACCCTTTGAAAACTTTATGAATTCCATTTCTTGGACTTCTGTTTGCAGATTTTCCATGAATCTAAATGTAAACAGATATTAGTTGATACTTGCATGACTGTATCACTGCTACTACCTTAGCTACTAAATGCATTAAGTAGACACTAACTTTCAATCGCAGATACTATTGACATCATTGTTTAAAATGTCACTGGTTTAGTTTTTACCTGTGCATGAAGATGTTTCCAGAGCTGCATTTCAATAATGACACCAGCAGGGTGCTCTCTAAGTCTGCATTCACAGAACGCTGCTGCCCAGATAATTTACAGATAACCTGGCCTCTGGTTTTCACTAATGTTTAAAAATGTGCAGATAATGAGATAAAATAATTGGTTAGGCAGTATTATAATGAATGAATGAAAAAGGACTCAGTAACTAAAGGCCTGACGCATGATTTATGAAATTTCGTATTAATAAGAGAGGAATGACAAGGTTAGAAAGTGCATAGAAAGATGAGGCCCTAATAATCACAAAGGTGAAAGAAAAGAGGAAACTTGAAATCATTACTGCAGGAAAAGATGACTAAAAGCCTCAAAGATTATAACTGCAAAGAGAGGTTTGGCAAATCAGTTCTGCAATGACTAAAGGATGGATTAGGGAGGATTACAATTGACATGTACAGAGTTCAGAAGAGCACAGAAAATGATGTTGCAGGTGTCTGGGAAGGTATGAAGAGAGCTGTCTGAAAAAGGAAGGGGTGGACATCAAGGTTTTTAGGAGACATCCATTCTTTTAGGAAGAAAAAACCCCAAGAAGCACGAGGAGCAAGTAATAACCTGCAGGTACAGAGCTAGAACTATAAGCAGAGTTGTAGCTTTGCATTTCCCCGGTTTGGTCTATGCGGCCATCAGAATTTCTTCTGGCCTGACATGAATTTTGAGAAAGTAAAGACAATACTATGCGACCCATTTGGTAATTTCCACTTCAGAAATGGGGCAATCAAAAAAGTGATAATTTTAAAATATAAACAAAGTCTAAAAACAGAGTGATGCTTGCTAGAATCCCTTTAGTACTTAGAAAGAACCCTGCTTTATTGAGTTGCAAAAATTATTGACAGGAGAGAATGAAAAACTCCTATATTGGGACAAAGCAATTAGTTGGAGAAAAGGACAGCTAAAGGTCTGTGTAGCAAATATCTGCAGAGGCTCATTTGCTCATCATTGTTTGCACAGCCTCACTGGGTTTGAATTCTTTCCCCTGAAATTACAGCATTTTAGTCCGCACAGCTATCTTTAGTTCTTTAATGAGATCACTTGGACAATTAGTAGCTCAAAGCTCTGTGAAGTCCACAAGGGGTTAGCTGAAGATTGCTGTTGCAGCATAAGCTCTCTCTTGTATTTTTTCCTCTAATAATTAGAGCTGCATGTGCAAATAAAGGGCCAACAAATGCTTCACGGCTCAGGACATGCAAGTAAATGAAAGCCTGAGAGTGGAAGTGATTTTAAGTTTCAGGCTAGTTTTATTAGGGTAATTCTGAGGAGGGGTATGATATGCTCTCAAATTTTATATGGGCATTTTTCTCATCCAGTAAAGGGGGTTACAAGGCTTCCACCGCATAGTCAAACACTGAGGTATCTTCTCTATGGTCCACCTTAAGACTTGGCTCACTTTCAAGTCCCCTGACTCTCCCTCTCACAGGGGGATGAAACACCAAAGGAACTGTTTGTGCCACCAGTGTGAAGGGGAGACCCCTTGTCTTACAGACCAGTAAGAGCTTACTTGCACAGCCTGCAAACCACTCTTCAGTTTTCAGATGCAGCTCCTGTCCTTGTAACTCGTGAGGTGATTGCTGCCCCTGTCCAGCCCCGCAGTCAGCATGTGCCAGGGAGACCGGCCAGCATGGGCTGGCAGAAGCAGTCCTGCCGCACCGCCTGCAAGAGCCTCCCCAGATCCTGGGAAAGGAGGCAGGGCTGGAGGAGAGGACAGCATGGACCAGGCATGTAGACCAGGCATGGCATCAGTCCAGCAGAGACTGACTAGGGCCACTTGGCTGCATTTTGGGAGTGTCCATCAATGGCAAGGAGTAGATGATATCTGGGACGCGTGGATTGCGCTTGGCTGGAAGTCACAGCAGAGACCATGCGGAATGGTAACTACATCTTTGACTGCTGTTTCCAACCAATGTAATGCATGGTGTGGGGGAGGAGAAGCTGCTGAGAATTAGGTCACTTTCAGAAATGTGCCTAAAACATGGATGCAGGGAAACAAGGCACCATGTATTTCATTTTCTTGGCTTTTAATCTATGAAAGATGGACATATTTTGCAACAGACTGAAGGTCTGTTATTGAAAGTATGAGTTATTTATCTTGGGGAACTAACTCAGTCATTTGCTGTACTGGTCAGTAGCCATGTGTGATGACAAACTACATATTCTTCCATCTTTTCTAAATATTGCATTTCCTTAAGCAGAAAACCCTCAGTGACCTGCCCTCTAGCCATACCCAATAAAGGCAGCACAGCTGAAAGACCAGGCATTTCTACATACTGAGGAAGGAGTGAGTGGCCCACCCTGCCACACATATCAGCCAGCTGAAAGGTGCAGCAAAGCCAAAGAGGAAAGTGAAGGCTTTGGCTGTGGCATTTTTGACACGTGCTTGCTTCTACAGTCTCTTCTAGTCAGTCAGTGAATGAAGTGTTGTATTTCCCCATGCCCACTGTGGGTTTTCAATGCCTTTTCTCAGGCCTGGGTTCTTGCCCTTTCCAGTTGCTTTGGGGCAATGACACTGCACCCTTCCTATGGCACAAAAGCTGCGCATCTTGCTGCAATACACAGATTAGGGAAGGGACTGGGAATTACTTATTTAGGTACAAAAAAATTAAAATGGATATTTCATTTCAACTTGCAGGCTTGCTCCTGGCAAGCCAGAGTGGGAAGATTTCCTGCTGTACAAAACACTACTTGGAGCAGCAGCTGAAATGTGCAATTTAAAATTTGTATGTGATACTCTCCTATATTACAAAAATTAAAATACTATGAATCATCGCATCAACATTCTAGGTCACTCTTATTCCCAGATGTGAGAGTTAAAAATCCTAATGAGGTTTTTTTTAAGCGAAAGTTATTAAAAATAACTTTCTGGTTAGGAAGTAAAACTTGATACTTAAATGCCAGGACACCACTAGGGATACTTGCTTTTGTATCTTCTGGATCACGGTGTGATGACTTTCAGCTGGAAATTCCTTAAAAATTTCTCCAGATATTAGGAAAAACAAGCATAGGAATGAAATTCTTGCTCTCCCAAAGTCAGTGTGAGCTTGGCCAGGGACTTTGAAGGGAGCCATAATTCAAGTACAGGAACAGGATTCTGATTGTAGATGTGCTCTACAATTCAAAACAATTACACTGGGAATACTCTTATGCTATAGTAGCTTGAGAATAAAAGCAAGCCATAAATTTCCAAATAACAAAAAGGAAAGGTAAGTCATAAGTTCATAACACAGGGAAAAGGCTAGGAACAGACAGTACTTTCTTTAAGACAGCCTGTTTTATCCACACTCTAAAACACCCACGTTGAAGGCCAATGGCCAAATTCGTTATCATGTTACAACAGCATTCAGCAACCTTATCAGGATTTACCCCTCATTTTGTAATGTGCTTTACAGATCTATAGAAAGAGGGAGTCTCTCAAGACTTTTTGACAACTTGGCTTTAATAGAAGTGAAAATGTAATAGAGGTGGGGAGACTTCAGGAATGCAGCTATTCCCCCTCCAACCTGAGATGTTGCAGTGAAGTGCAGGGAACACAAAGCAGTAGAACAGAACACAAAAGGAAAGGTTAGGGAAAGTTTTCCTTCTTCTCTCTCTTGACCTGAACTGAAAGTCTTTGTAGAGCTTTAACATGCTAATACAGAACTGACTAGTTCTTGTTGCACTGATTTGTAGGAAGGAAACTTAACAATTGAGATAGTGGTGGCTATACCACCTGGGTATCTGTACTCTGCTTCCACTCCTCTTTGGACACTGAAGTCCTTTTGAAGACTTGATAACCCTTTCTGCACCAAAGGACTGTTGCAAACCAGCAGCAAGGTTGTTTTTTTGCAAATCTGACCTTCAAAACAGAATATAGAAAATCTAGTAAGGGACTGACCATTGACCTTTAGAGGACATTTGGATTTCTGATTGTAAATTCAGTTTTGCAAGCAGTAAGACAGTTAATCAATCTCACCATTTTCAGAATAACAATAATAATAGATACAAGTGGAGGTACAGAGACAAATAAAGAGGCAATCATATTCTATTCCTGCAAAGCACTTCCAAATCCCTAGATGAAAACCACTGAAAATGTACGAGCTATCATCACAGCAAAAGCACTCCTGGTTGATGATACTGCCCGAAGGAGATCCTGCATCCATGCATCGCCACAAACACAGAGCTGGACCAGACAAAGGTCTCCACTAGTTGGTTCAGCCCGATCATTCTGTTTTCTTAAATGAAAGGTTTCAAATTAAATGTACCAAGGAATTCAAAATGCTCAAGGAAAGAAACAGGATAGGGAGGGAAAAGGCACGTTTTGTGTATGGTTATACAATTTAGGATTTTCAAGCTAAAGCAGAACATAAAAAGGAAACCTTTATTAAATTATATTTTTGGTGCAAACTTCTATTAACTGATGAAAAATTTTGAAGCAATAAATCAGATGAGAAAATGCCATAAAATGGATTTGAAATGTTAATTTTCCTTATATGATTAAAAGATGCCCATTTTTTAACCATACTGAGAAGTACTTTTTATGAGCCCTCCCAGGAAAAAAATACACCAATCAAAGTTTTTTGCATATTCTTTCCATACTCTCTGCAGTTTGTTTTTTTTTTTTTTCCTTCAAGGAGATTGTGAGAGATTTAAGCTTGCTTGGGGACAGATTACACAAAAAAATAATAGTAGTCGTAAACTATTTAGGGAGTGAATTACTGTCTCCTCTTTTATTTGGGATTAGACATACTTAAACAAGATCAGTAAGGGACTTTTTCAGGGAAAAAAACAGTGTCTGTCAAGAAGAAATATTTGCTATACCTAGAAAACTGAATAGTTTTCTATTCAGAATAAAAAAATAGTACATACAATATAGCTGGAAATTAAATCACAAGTGACACATTTTTTGGAAGGAAACGACCAAAAATTACTTATGTCTCACAAACCGGGGGAAACTGCTACGCATAAGAAAAAAAAGCCTGGAATCCCAAAGAACTTCTGACTTCATGTTTGAAATCCGACATTCTATAAGATGGAGCCTGGTATTAGAAGATTATATTGTTGAGGTGTAAAACTGAGTGTTGGTCCCGTGAAACAGAAATGTGTTCAGGTTTTCTGAGAAGAAAGTCTCACTTGGTTACAGCTTCTTGCATTAAATTTGCCCTTCTTTGTTATACGATTTTAGGTTTGCTGCATATTGTTTTAAGTTTTCTTAAACTGATACAGGAGAATAATGATTCCAGCTGCTTTCGACCAGGAGGCACCACTTTTACTAGTGATGTACGTGACCATATTCAGAATAATTTCATTTAAATTTCCTAACTTTTGCCAGGGAAACAAGCTGTTGCTTTTTAAGTTGTGAATTATTAATAATTATTATATTGTCCTTATGTTAAGGACAATAAAACTGGCAAGAAATCATGTAGCAGTCTGGAGCTGAACATGTGTTCCTTGAGTCCTACCTTAAGATCTCTGAAACCACCTTGTTACTATGTGAAAGATGTAGGATGGTGTGCTTCCTGCATTGCTTCCACTACTTCTAAGCAGCCCCTGCAGAATGAATCGGGAGTCTCACCAATGCTGCTTGACTGGTGTCATGAAATACCTGTGAGAGGGTTAGTTCTTTACTTGCATGTTCCCAGCAGCCCAAGATAGGATGAAAAATTATCTGATATTCTGTTTCATGGTCTCATTCCTTATGCCCAGTAAAAAACAGCCTAAGGATTGTCCTTGTGTGTATTGCCTACCTATGATTTCCAAAGAACCATGCACCAGGCGGAGACAGATGGGAGCACAGCCTGCTTAACTGTTTCCCCTCCCTATAATCAGTGTGCCTCCTGTGTTTGGGGCAGTAGGGAGGGAGGCACAAGAGCTGGCTTACATCAGCTCCATGTTGCCTGAAGAGATGCAGACCGTTTCCATTTTCTGCGTGCCGTCTGAATGCAAAGAAAAGAGAAGAAGGCAAATTAATTGCCCTGATATATTGACTGTGGCTGTTCAATGTGTTTTAAATGTTTCGACTGTGGGCTGAAAGGGTCGGACATCACTGGTGTACCTGTAGATACAGATGGTTGCACACTTACAAAAGGATTTTTTAACGCCAGCCAAACTGAAAAGGAGGAAGCATGAGGAAAATATATGTAAGTAATGAGGTGAGAACACTAGTCCCAGCTTTCTGAATTCTCAGGTAAGTACACTGACATTTCACAAAGAAAGCAGCACAGCAATATCTGTGTATTTAACTAATGGGACAAGTTTTAGTGTGTTCTAATCAAACCTAATCACCCCGACTTTCTACTAGGTACTACACTGATCAATGGAAAAGCTTTCTAGGCAAGAACTTGGAAAATGATAAAAGCATTTGCCATCATTATTTTCTGCTTTTGACAGTGATCTATGTCTGTACAGCTCATCAGTCATCTCTTGTAAAAACAGCGTGGCACTTTGATCAAACAGCCAACAATAGCTTCTCGCGTAAGGTAAAATGTTATGAGAGGCCATCAGATAGAAATCACATTTTCTCTGAACAATAGGAACCTAGAAATGATGTGCTTGATTTACTTGCAAATAAAATCATGTGAAAGGTGATATCTTCACACAGGTTAAAAAGACAGTGATCCTTTTATTCACCTTTCTGCGTGTTAAACAAACTTCACTGTCATGTTGCAACCGAGATGGAGTGTCTACGCAGTGATAAAGAGGCACATTCCAGCTCTACGAAACATAAATGCCACTGTTGAAAAATTACCTGCATTAAACCTTACACTTATCCCACAAATTTTAAGAGCAAGATGTGGGAGTTTGATTTTGATTACAGGCCTCTATCTGTGTGGTAGGCAAAGGTCTTTAACCTACGTGTTCTGAATGTACTAGGTACATAGTTTCATCAATGTCATGCCTCATTGGGTCAGTGTAGGATTTTATCTAAAACCTGAGGCTTTTCAGTTTACACTGTATATGCAAACACAACCTTTTACTGGTGCTCTCTGTCTTTTGTTTCATTGAGAGGTTCTACAGTATTTATAGAAAAGGGAGGCATCTTAAACTTATTTTGCTCACTTAAATTCCTATTGAGTTGAGGTCTTCAAAAGAGAACTTTTGTTTATTTGAAGACTGGTGTATACCAGAGCCAGTGGAGCTGAACACTTTTTAGTGTTAGAAAAATTGCCACTCTTCCTTTTCTACTCTGGCTTTCCCCAAACCATTATCAATTGCAACAACATTAATTTTTAAGAAGGCTGACACAGATTCCCCTGCTTCTGAACATAAATTGAAGTAAAACATATTATCCCAATTTATTTTGGCAGTCTGTAAATGACTGATTGTTTTTGTAGAAAAGGTAACACTGACGTAGATAATCTACTCTTGATGTTGTGCTACAAGATGTGTGTAAAGATTCACACAGTTATTTAGGCACTTAACTTCCACTTATCTCAAAGAAAGACTGTGCATTTGGATTCTGGGCCCAAGTTCACATAGCAAGATGTGTCTGGAGTTCATACTAACAGGAGAAATTGATTTCCCAAGTAACAGAGAGTTTTAACCAGTTAAGCTGTGATGCTGTGTAGGTGATGGTAATCATTACTGATTGAAAAAATCACTAGAAGAAAGAAGCTCATCCAATTAAAACACTAACAGCTGGTACCTGGTTGGGTTTTCAGGTTGCTAGCAACCACAGCAGAACATCCTACTCCAATGTAGACAAAGAACGCACCATTGTTCTGACATGTATATGATGTATAAGCTGAATTGATTCCCTACATCAGTGTTAGAACTTTCTATTAACTCCTGATTTTGCAAAGTTTACAGTGAAATAGACAAAATGCTGAGTTTCCAGGTGTAACATACACTTGGTATTCCTCTGCAGTTTCAGTCTGATGTGTTTACCATCTGAGTTAATTCTCAGTTCTGACATAAGTGCCGTGAAGTATCTGCGTAGTCCCATTGCAAAAGTAGTTCAAAGGGTAAAGGAAACACACAGGTAAAGCTTTAATAGAAGCTGGAATTTGAAGCAAGCAGAGAAGTTGCCTGTAGCCTACCATGACAGTTGTAATGGGGATGAGGGTGTCTCAGCTCAGAAAAGCTTTGACAATTGATTAGCAGTTCACTTTTTTGGGTGATTTGATCAAGAAAAAGAAAAATACTCATTAATTATATTGCCTTAAGGTATGCCATCACACAGTTGCCAAGCATGGTAGTCTCAACCCTCACGACCAGGCCCACTGCTGCTTTGGAGTTATGATGGTGCTCAACTCCTCCTGCAGACAAGGAGACCCTGGGAGCTAAACTAGAAATTTAATCATGGAAAATGATGAATAACCTCCTGCTTGATTACCTGCTTAACTTTCTGAATCAGCTCAGTGTGGGGTCAAATTAATGGCAGCGTTGGTGCAAAGCAGAGGGAGGAAGAACAGGACTGGTTGCTGTTAGGCTTGCCTAGCTGAAAAAAAATACCTGAAAAACTCAGAATAGCGAAGTTTGTCCTTTCCTTCTTTTCCGAAGAAATGTACCAGCAACATTGTATTAACACCAGAGCTTTCCAGTTCTGCTCCCTATAAAACAAAAAACTGTATGATTAATTATTATGCATTGTATGATTATTAATATCTATTCAGCACAAATATGGAATTATTTATTTTAAATAGAATTTCACTAGAGATACTTGCAATTTAATTACTGTTCCCAAAGCTATCACACAGGATCTCAGAGCTGAATAATTCTTTCACATCAACTGGTTACAGTGTATTATATTACTATATATGAGTACAATTTACAGCCAGCTTCGGTGTATTTTATTATTAGAAATGAGAAGGTTGCTAGTGAAATCTTTAAAAGCCATTATGCTTAGGTGAATAGAGGCTTTAAATAAAGTTAACATCATAGCAAAAATGTTTAGTCAGATATTTCTAATTTGATACAGCCATTTAAAAACATTAATTAATAGTCTAAAAAACAAAACTAGAAAAATATAAAGTGCTCTTTTATAATATGGCCTTTCAAGGCTCCTTGCAAATTTTCAATGTTATTAACATTTCTATATGCTTTTTAAACTTGACTAAGAGATTTCTGCAGAAAAAGGATGCACATTATTTCAACTCAACAGCATCTTTAACAAGCCTAAAACCACACATAATGCTGGATTTTTGTTCTATTCTTCTTTCAGCACTAGCATACTGGCATTTCTTTGAACGCAACAAAACACTAAGCAACAAGAAGAGAGAATTTTTTTTGTAAGTCCAGAGGGATTTCAACAAACTTCTTATGACATCTAAATAGCCTCTGTGTCTTTTATCTGGTTGAAGAGGTATGATGAAAGACAAGAGTCTATTCATAAGATTTAATACTAATGGTTATTTAGCTTTCAGCATCATCAATAACAAGTCCCATTAGTCCACTGTGTGTTTCATGCTTCCTGCATATGTGACACAGTTATTTTATAGTTAAAGAGGCAACATTCCTCATTTCTACTGCAAGCTACAATTCACTAAATGCCAGTGATACAAGTTATGTATGAGTGAACCTAGAAAAAAAACTTTTCAAGCTATACACAAACTGTACTTATTGAACTTTATCATTTAACTCCAGGCAAAGAATATTTAAATACCCACAAGATCCATCCTTCTAAAGTTTAAACACTTCAGATTACTGTGAAGACTGATGCATAAACATTGCTATATGCTTTTTTGAAAGTCAAAAGTCAAACATTTATGTATGCTTATTTGAAATTCACACCCAAACTATTTATGTCAGAATGCAAAGTTTTCTAAGAAGAAACAGAGAAGAATCCCCATATTTCTCACTGCAGTGAGATTCTAATCTGCTTTTTGTGTTTTTTGCTTACATGTTTCAAAGACTTGAAAAATGCAAGAAATAACTTTGCTGCTGTAATTTGAAAAACTGAACTAATGATCACACAATTTAAGGCTTCCAATTTAATTACTCCATATTAAAATCAGTGTTGTATTGAAAACAAACAGAAAAATTAGGTTTAAAATATCCTTTTAAAATCTAAGTCTGACAGAAAAAGGGTTTTTTTTTTTTTCTTCTATTCATGTTTCTCTAGTTATAGCCTAGAAGAAGACATACAAACAATACTTATCTCATCTTATCTAAGATGACAAAGCCTATCCCTGGATTTATAACAAATATGCACCTACTCTTTATCAGTTGAAATTCCAAAGTGGAATTGGCAGATGTCCAAACACTGTGTTAGTGAGAGTTAAATGTATTTTAAAACTACAAAACAGTACCTTTCTTTAAAACAGAATATGCAATAGCAGACCACAGAGACCACAGCTTAAGGGTAAAATTTCAAAAAATTGCTTTTCCTAGACTTAATGCTGTTAAATTAAAGTACATGTTAGTACATAATTCCTTTTTGTCCACAGAATCATTAGGAGCTTTTGCTGCTGAACTGTATAAATTAGTACCGACATGACAATCTTTGTTAGAAGATAATGAGAGCTCTATTAATATTTCCAACACCTCACCCTCCTGAGCTGAGGTAAAAGAATAACTGATGTTTGGAATGTCTCTCTTAGCAATGAGAATTAAATGGTAACCTAATCCTGGAGCTGTAAAAAGGACCAGACTGGTAGCTATGAGTCATAGAGCTACTACCTAAAGTGAGTGAAGGTTTGTATTCTGGTTTATCTGGTGGCTTCAGCCTGGGGAGGGTGCAGCACAGCACCATTTTTACAGAAAGCTGATGCACAGAGTGCAGAAGGGTGGGTGATGTTATGAGTCTCATAGTGATACAAGCATGGGATGGGGCAGGAACATGTATCTCAACTGGAGAGCTCAGACATGTTCCTGTTGGTTCACACAAAGAATCCCAAAGACCAAGCTCTGATGCCACACAAGTCTATATGAACTAATGAACGTGTGTGTACATATTACAAACACAAGGTTATGTTCCTAGAGTAATGTTAACACCTTGTACCCTTTTCAAAAGCACCAGGAACTGCTGAATTATGCAATTATTTCATTTTCAAGCAAGATCAGATAACACAACATTTATTTCCTTATTACATTACACAGACTGTTAACACAGAAGTCTGATGCTGCAAACACTGAGTCATGGGCACAGACCTACCTAAGCCTGTAGCTCCCCACTAAGCTTTTGACATTTAGGACCAGATACTGCAGCAAGTAGCAACAAGTGTCACTGAGAAGAAACTTATCACACAGTGGGACAGGATTTTCGGAATAATGTACCTAACTGATTTTCAAAACTCATCTGAAACATTAATAGACTTACTGTCTCTAGATTCTTACCACCTTTCATTGCAGAATTTGCCTGAGGCATGACTGGAAAGCATTCACCATGATTAAAATCTGTAACATGTTCCTTGTTCTCTTATTTGCTTCCTGGGAGACAGTATTTGCTGTGCAATGTCTTGTTTCAATAGAGCTTGTAAAAATAATACATATTTTGGATTTAATTGTTTTTTGGCTAAGGAAGAAGGAGGGTGAATAGATGAAGAACAGGGGCAGAAAAGAGAGGAGGGTCAAGGGAATTATATTTTAGTTTCTGTCTGCTAGTAACGTCCCCAAACTTTCCAAAGTTAAGACTATATCTTTGCAAATTTTTCCAAGTCCACTTCTCTGAAACGCTCTTTGTTTTTCAGCTGCTAGATTAGTCAATTCATCATGCCAGGCTCCTATCCCTGGAGGCAATGTAGCTTCAATCTAAGCAGCCTAGCCTTGAACACTGCTCAAGAGCATCAAACTTCCTGTCATTTTGAGAGTCAATGAGGTGTTGGGATATATCCTAAAACTCAGTTCTGGGAAGAAGGTTTAAAAGATGTATCCATTATGAAATTAATCTTGCCAGGTACAGCTAGTCAAAAGAACTGTGAACAGGCAAGCTAGTGAGACCAGGAGATCCTGATCTCCAAAAGCAGTCTCTTTTGGCAAAGCCTGGACAGCCACAAGTGGATGCCAGAATGAACAATACATAGCTTCACCAAAGGCAAATCGTGCCTGACCAGTCTGGTGGCCTTTTATGATGGGGTTACAACACCGGTGGATAAGGCTAAAGCAACTGATGTCATCTACCTGAACTTGTGCAAGGTGTTTGACACTGTCCCACATGACATCCTTGTCTCTAAACTGGAAACATGTGGGTTTGATGGATGAACCACTCGGTGGATAAGGAACTGGCTGGATGGCCGCACTCAAAGAGTTGTGGTCAACAGCTCAAAGTCCGGGTGGAAACCAGTGACGAGTGGTGTTCCTCAAGGGTCGGTATTGGGACCGGTGCTGTTCAACATCTTTGTCAGTGACATGGACAGTGGGATTGAGTGCACCCTCAGCAAGTTTGCCGACGACACCAAGCTGTGTGGTGCGGTTGACACACTGGAGGGTCGGGACGCCATCCAGAGGGACCTTGACAGGCTTGAGAGGTGGGCCTGTGCTAACATCGTGAAGTTCAACAAGGCCAAATGCAAGGTCCTGCATCTGGGTCAGGGTAACCCCAAGCACAAATACAGGATAGGCAATGAATAGCTTGAGACCAGTTCTGAAGAGAAGCACTTGGGAGTGGTGGTGAGCGAGAAGCTGAACACGAGCAGACAATGTGCGCTTGCAGCCCAGAAGGCCAATAACCGTGTCCTGGGCTGCATCAAGAGAAGCGTGTCCAGCAGGTCGAGGGAGGTGATTCTGCCCCTCTACTCCGCTCTTGTAAGGCCCCACCTGGAGTGCTGCGTCCAGTTCTGGAGCCCCCAACATAAGAAAGACATGGACCAGTTAGAACAAGC